AGCTGCCCCAGAGGTCTGCCTGCCCCGGCTGCCCACGCCCGCCAGCAGCGGAGGCAGCTGCAGGGACTCTGCATGCAGAGGGGTTTTGGAGCTGCGCTGATGAAGGGGAGCAGCAAACCCAAAATGGACTCTATCTGAGAGACAAACTGGCACCTGGGGGCATTTTCAAGGCATTTGGAAAGTGCTCTTGAGTCTGTCGAGGAAAGTCTTTTTCCAATCCTGTTTCAGTGGCCTGGTTCTGCCTTTATGTTGATGGCAGTAGCAGCAGGGATCCCTGAGCTGCTTTGGAGAGATTGCTCCTTGCAATTCCATGCTGGGAAGGAGGAGTTTTACTAATTGGTCTTTTTCTTAATTTGCACTTGCCGTCTTACAACATCTCCCCTGTCACTTTAAAGCAAAGCAAAACTAAAAGTCATGGTGCTTTTAAGTTTTTTCCTGGCTCATTTCCTTCCAATTTCCCAGCCCTTCTGCTTTCTAGGAAGAATGAGTTGAAAGTGTTACTCTGATCAAGTTTTGGGATGAAGCAATGATTCCCATGAGCCCCAGAAAGGAACAAGAGCAGACTCCCAGTACCCAGACAGTTGTGGAGCAAGTTGGGGAGACAAGGTAGTGCTGCCATAGTCAGGGGTTGCAGGGCATCGTATGGAGATGGGACAGGACTTGCCAACCACTACACTATGTAAGGGCTTCAACTGCTCTCCAAGCAGCCCATCATCCTCCCATTTATTTACTCATTTGTTTGCCTTTAAGGGGGGAACAGGTGTACATTAATTCATCACCAGAGTTTAAATTAAATCATTTTACTTCTAAATGAGTCACTAATTTGCAGGAGTATTTAATTAGAGCCTCTTTGCACTCAGGTGCTGTATTACTTCTGACTTTCTCACCTGTTTGCCCTCTTAAGAGGCTGCTGCTGATTAGACCATTTCTGCACATCCTTGTTGCACATCAAAGCAATTAACCCTAATGGCAACACCTTGATGCTCCTCCTCTGTTCTGGGGGCTCCTGGCAGCCTTGTCTCCCACAGGAAATAACCCTTTCCACCGCTATGGCAGGACGCAGACTTGCTGTGCAAAACACGCTGCACCCCACAGCTTGGGCAGCCCTGCAGCCTTTTGGCAGTGATTTGCAGCGTAGCTTGAGCGCGAACAACTGCACCGAGCTCTCCCTGCCTTGCTGCGAAGGGAGGACTCGCTGCAGCACCCACCTATGCCCAGTGCTGAGTGAGTGTTCACAGGGTGCAGGCAGCGCTGGTGCTTTCTTGTGTTGCTCCTCAGCGGCAAGAAAATGCTCACTCATACCTTTAGGACCAGACTCAACTCCACTGCCAGCTAGCCAGCTCTCTGCATGGGCTGTCTGTGCAGACTAAGGCCACCTTTTTGAAAAAGAAGTGTTATTTATGTCTTTAATAGGCATTGGTGGATTTTCTTCCGTGGTTTGTGTATTTGTGCTTCTCCTTCAGCGTGCTCTGGGTTGACTAGACAGATACCAAAACCCCTCTCACTCATCTCTACTCCAAACAGAAAAGTCCTTACACATTTTGTTCCTCTTACATTTTCTTGCCCTTGATCTCCTTGATCTATTGCCCTTCTCCAATTCAGCCCCTCCATTAGGTGGGCAGCACTCATCCCTGCCACTAAATGAGGGAGGAGAGCATCCAAAGCGCTGATTCAGTGAGCAGCCTATACTGAAAACAAAATATAGGTGCCTGAATAAAATTAAGTGCCCCAGAGAGCCGTGACCTGCACTGGGACATCCCTGTGCCTGGGCAGAGGAGTGTGCAGGGGCCATGGCAGCCAGGCCAGTGGGTTTCCAGCCACAAGCGGTGCTTGCGGTCTCCACTCCCCC